GGCCCCATGTTGCCGCCTGCGGCGGTCCCCCCCCGAAGGGAAGCACCGACACAGACGGGCACAGAGACCCCTTGCTGTCCCTCGGCGAGGTTGGCAAGCAAGCAGGAAAAGCTGAGAACCGGCTGTCCAGGGGGGGCCCTTTAAGCACGAGCCTCAGATAGCCTCAGACAGCAGCCACACAAAGCAACTACTAACCTGATGCCCTGCCAGAACCGGTTTCAGCTGCCCTTAAATGCCCCCCTGCGTCCAATCAGTGTGGACACGCTAGTTCGAATTAGCAAAACGCTAATTCGAACTAGTTTTTAGTTCTAGACGCGTTAGTTCGAATTAGCTTAGTTCGAATTAACTAATTCGAACTAAGTTAGTTTGAACTAGCGCTGTAGTGTAGACATACCCTGAGGGAGTTGGCAAATGTCATTGCGGAGCCTTTGGCCATTGTCTTTGAAAACTCGTGGAGATTGGGAAAGACCCTGGATGACTGGAAAAAGGCAAATGCAGTGCCCAGGTTTAAAAAAGGGAAGAAGGACAATCCGGGGAACTACAGACTTACCTCAGTCCCTAGAAAAATCATGGAAGGGATCCTTAAGGAATCCATTTTGAGGCACTTGGAAGAGGGGAAAGTGATCAGGAATAGTCAACAGGTATTCTCAAAGGGCAAGTTGTGCCTGACCAATCTGATTAGCTTCTAAAAGGTAACTGGCTCTGTGGATTTGGGAAAGTCAGTGGATGTGATATACCTTGACTTCTGCAAAGCTTTTTATACGGTCTCCCACAATATTCTTGCCAGCAAGTTAAGGAAATATGGATTGGATAAATGGAATATAATGTGGATAGAAAGCTAGCTAGATTGTCGGGCCCAACGGGTAGTGATCAATGGCTCGATGTCAGGTTGGCGGTCAGTTTCTAGTGGAGTACCCCAAGGATCAGTTGTAGGGCCCGTTTTGTTCAACATTTTTATTAATGATCAGGATGAGGGGATGGATTGTACCATCAGCAAGTTTGCAGATGACACTAAGATAGGGGGAGAAGTAGATACTCTGGAGGGCAGGGATAGGGTCCAGAGTGACCTAGACAGATTAGAGGATTGGACCAAAAGAAATCTGATGAGGTTCAACAAGGATAAGTGTAGAGTCCTGCAGTTGAGATGGAAGAATCCCAAATATTGTTACAGGCTGGGGACCGAATGGCTAAGTAGCAGTTCTGCAGAAAAGGACCTGGGGATTACAGTGGATGAGAAGCTGGATATGAGTCAACAGTGTGCCCTTGTAGCCAAGAAGGCTAATGGCATATTAGGTTGCATTAGGAGAAGCATTGCCAGGAGATCTTGAGAAGTTATTTTCCCCCTTTATTCAGCTCTGGTGAGGCCACACCTGGAGTATTGTGTCAAGTTCTGGGCCCTCCACTATAGAAAGGATGTGGACGTATTGGAGAGGGTCCAGCGGAGGTGACCAAAATGATTAGGGGGCTGGAGCGCACAACCTATGAGGAGAGACTGAGGGATTTGGGTTTGTTTAGTCTGCAGAAGAGAAGAGTGAGGGGGGATTTGATAGCAGCCTTCAATTTCCTGAAGGGAAGTTCCAAAGAGGATGGAGAGAGGCTGTTCACAGTAGTGACAGATGTCAGAACAAGGAGCAATGGTCTCAAGTTAAAGTGAGGGTGGTCTAGGTTGGACATTAGGAAAAACTATTTTACTAGGAGAGTGGTGAGGTACTGGAATTGCTTACCTAGGGAGGTGATGGAATCTCCATCTCTAGAGGTTTTTAAGTCGGCTTGACAAAGCCCTGTCTGGGTTGATTTAGTTGGGATTGGTCCTGCCTTGGGCAGGAGGCTGGACTTCATGACTTCCTGAGGTCTCTTCCAGTTCTATGAATCTCAGGCTACGTCTAGCCTGGAAGCCTCTTTCGAAATAGGTCAATGGAGGGATGATAGGAGTTACTATAGAGAACTTTCTGGATGTGTGGCTGGTGAGTCTTGCCCACTTGCTCAGGGTTTAGCTGATCGCCATATTTGGGTTTGGGAAGGAATTTTCCTCCAGGGTAGATTGGCAGAAGCCCTGGAGGTTTTACGCCTTCCTCTGTAGCATGGGGTACAGATCACAGTTGGAGGATTCTCTGCATCTTGGGGTCTTCAAAGTATTTGAAGGCTTCAATATCTGAGATGTAGGTGAGAGGATTATTCCAGGAAGGGGTGGGTGAGATTTTGTGGCCTGCACTGTGCAGGGGGTCAGACTAGATGATCATAATGGTCCCTTCTGACCTTAAAGTCTATGAGTCTATGAGAAGACAAAAAATTGGGCTTGTTTAATTGAGAAATGCGAAGACTGAGGGTGTGTCTACACTACAGGGCTTTTTCAAAAAAAGTGGCCTTTTTTCTAAACAACTTTCCCTGCATCTAGATTGCTGCCGCGTTCTTTCGAAAGTAAATCGAAAGAATGCAGCAGTTTTTTCGACCGCGGAAAACCTCGTGAAACCTCCGTCATAGCTCATGTTTTCTAGGTCTTCAATAATTTTTGTTTCCCCAAAAGTTCATATTTGTCTGACACGCACAGTCTTCATTTCCTAGTTTTGTATCTTGCATACAATCCCAGCCCACAATAATAGATATGCTTAATACATTAAGATCTTTCAAGGAAATTGCCCTGTCACGAAGGATATGTCTACACTACAGCACTAATTCGAACTAACTTAAATCAAATTAGTTAATTCGAACTATACTAATTCGAATTAGTGCATCTAGACCTAAAAACTAATTTGAATTAGCGTTTTGCTAATTCGAACTAGCATGTCCGCATTGAGTGTACCCTGAACCGAAGTTAAGGCTGGCCAGAACATGTGCCGGCAGAGCATCAGGTTAGGACTTAGAGTGTGGAGCTGCTGCCTCAGGCTAGCTGAGGGCTGTGCTTAAAGGGACCCGACCCCCACCCCGGACAGACAGTTCTTAGGGTTCCTCACTTGCTTGCCTACCTTGATGAGGGACAGCAAAGCAGTCCTGTCTTGGAGTGCCCTGAGTGCCCACACTCGGCACATTACAGCACTTGCTGCAGGCTGCCATCCGAGGGGTGGATCAATCGGGGGACTGTCAGGATCCAGGAGACCCTGCAGGAGATCTTCCACCCCGAGGAGCCCACAGAGCCACCCCAGTCCTCTCCATCGGGGGCTCGTACCCCATTCCTCCCTCACCTCCTTCCACTTATTCCTCCCTAACCCCCCTTCCTGATGCAAAAAATAAAGGACACGTGTGTTCAAAAATAGAAACTTTCTTTATTTAACAAAACTGGGGGGGGGGGATTAACCTCTGGGGAGACTGGGAAAAGGAGGTGGGAGAGGGGAAGAGAGAGAGTGGGAGAGGGGAGGGGGAAACCTGGGAGGAGAGAGCTTGAAGGGGGAAGCCAGGGGAAGAAGGAGGAGGGGAAGTATAAAACTATGGTACGCCATATCTTCAGTACTGTGTACAGATGTGGTCTCCTCACCTCAAAAGAGATGTTTTGGCCTTGGAAAGGGTTCAGAAAAGGGCAAGTAAAATGATTAGGGGTTTGGAACAGGTCCCATATGAAGAGAGACTAAAAAGAATGGGACTTTTCAGCTTAGAAAAGAGGAGACTAAGGGTATGTCTACACTACCCTCCTAGTTCAAACTAGGAGGTAATATAGGCATACCGCACTTGCAAATGAAGCCCAGGATTTGAATTTCCCGGGCTTCATTTGCATAAGCGAGGCGCCGCCAC